GTTTTCGTCGTCGTTGTCGAAGCAGTCGTCGAAGCAGTCGTCGTCGTCGTCGTAGTAGTCGTCGTGGTAGTGGTAGTAGTAGTAGTAGTAGTAGTAGCAGCAGCAGCAGCAGCAGCAGTAGCAGTAGTAGGAGGAGGAGCAGGAGTTGTAACGCTAGCAGCACTGATCAGTGTTGCTAATAATGGACATGGTAATGTTAAGACAAGATTTGATACTCATAGCAACAATTGCGTTCAATAGCAGCGACCACCGCCAACGAAATCATCTCATAACGGCAACGACAACGAGCCGGATGATGCTGACTGCCTACAGATTCGTCAAGAAGTTCGTCATAATTCTCCCTAAACCTCAAACCCGAACTTGGAGTTGGCCTCACAGATTTGAAAAGTCTGGGAGACCTGCCTCCTGGCACTGTTCCTCCTGTGCCGCGAGCTTGGCCTTGAAGGCCTTGTGGTGAGTCTTGCACTGTGCAAGGCGGCTCTGCTACTGACCTCCTGACGAGTAAAACATAGCTTATGCCGTAGAGTTTCAAGCGACGACAACGACAACCACAACGACTGACATTCCACATTCCTACTTCCGGCTGGCCCTCATCGCTGGTTTTGCAGTCGCGCCAATATTGGAGCCAAAGGTTTCTTGGCCGTGAAATCCAAGCCGCTGTTTGTGCCCAGGACGGACAAAGCCTGTGCTGATGGCCCCTTCTATATTGCAGCTGAATGCAACTGCCAATCCTCCTTCTACACCTCACTCTTCGAAGCAGTATCTGCCACAGGGTTTTACCGTTCAGGCTTAGTGTAGGGCTCCCCTTCCTGCACTGGGATGTCGTGCACATCTATGCCCAGAAAACTTCCAAAGCATCTACACAGACAGGCGCGCCAGGAGTTTCACATCGTCGACCTTGGCTTGCTCCACCCGCTCCCTGGCCAAACTTTGCTAGAGACTTCTGGGAGTTCGTTACAACCCGAAGCAGAGGGATTCCTTGTGACCTGAAGGGCCCACCATTGTTGCGGCCCGGTTCTCTTCTGAAGTTCACCTTCCCACAGAATGAACATCTCGATGTGTAAAAAAAGGTTAACCATTCCGAAAGCATTGGTTGTCGTCAGGAACAGCAGTTGTCATGGTAACAACGATGCTCCTCATTCTAACGGTGGGATACTGTGAACATGTGTGATGCTGCTACAGTTCATGGAACTAGTGGTGCTCTCGTTATGGGAGCGCAGGAGGCGCCAATTACTCACTCATGGAAACCTTACACAGTCCACATAATCATGAAACAAACATATACCTTTCCTCCCCTCTACCCGGCGGCCGTGCCATGAGCTGTGCTCAAAACCCTGATCACGCCCTGTATCGTGAGATGGTCGGGGCAGAGGTTCGTCCTTGGGCCTTGGAGTTACAACTGGCTTTTCGGGTTGAGTTTAGGCCTTCTTTCAGTAGGCCCGAAAACCCTAAACCCTACACCTTACAACGATGAGGCCTTTAAGCCCTCGTCTTCGTTTTCAGGTTTCAGCGTACTTCTAACAAAAACTCAGGAGAAAGAACCCGGGCCTCGCCTGAACTCCTTGGTCTTCGCGAGCTCTTGCTTGAGGAGCTCTTCCTCTGGCCCGGCGAATCTCGCTTGAACACGGAGGGGTATTGAAGTGCTTAGGGTTTAGGGTCTAGGGTTTAGTGTTTAGAGTTTCGGGTTTAGGGTTTAGGGTTTAGGGTTTCGGGTTTAGGGTTTAGCGCTTAGGAAAGGAGGCTCCTGGAAGAGTTGATTTACTCTGGAAGAAGAAAACGAAAAAGAGACCCTGCCAGGAAAACCCTAGGTTCAGAACTGATAAATAGGAAGCCTGAATACCAAATAGTAGGATCCTCATTGCAAGGATCTGCCTCTACCCCCCAACCTTCCCGAGCCTCTCGAGCTTTCGCCACGCTGAGCTGCTCACTGAAGCCTCATGGGACACGAGAGGCGTGGCTCAGGACGGCTTGTGAGCAAGGGCTCGAGTCCGTCCCAGGTTCTCAGAGCTCTGAATCCTGCCCCTCGTGCCCGGCCCTGCAAGCCTTTACCGTCAACGCAACACTCGGGTTTCGAAACCTTTCCCCCAAAACGTCCATTTAGGTCCCTGCTCGAAGCGCGAAGTCTCTCCTGACAATCGTTGGAAGCAGCCTTTGGGGCTTACGTGGGTTTAGCTCCAGCTTGCTCAGATTCCCCGCGGGTCTTCTGAAGAAGGCCAGCAGGCCAATGTCGGGCGCAAGGGCTTAGGGGTTTAGGATTTCGATTTTGGGTTAGACCGGTGCACGGATCAGGGATCATTACAGTTGACAGGCGTTTCTAAGGCCAAAAAGTTAAAAAAGTAAATAAAAAAGTTTAAAGCTGTAAAGCTGCGAAAGGGCTGCTCTCAAGGCTTCTTGAATGGCCAGGTTGAAGGACTAAGGCTTGTACGGGTCGGGCCCCAGAGGGCCAAACATTTGAGAAGGTTGGGGTTTAGAGGGCTGTTGGTATTCAGGTCCAGGTCTTAGAGTTTTGGAGCTTGTGGGGGTGCTGGGACATGTCAGTCGGACGGGGGCTGGCAACTGCACAGCATGAACTGCACAGCAATGCCAGAGCGCTTGTCTTCTTCGCTAATGGGAATACAACGTAGCAACACACAGCATATCATGTGCTGTACAAGACAACCACGTTGGCATTCACTTTATGCCAGACCCGCAAACCACACATCAAAGCACGGGCGAACGCCAAGGACTGCTTCCCAACTAGAGCAAACGGGTTTGCCACAAGCACTGGGCACAGGCTGCACCAGGCACAAGACAAAGGCATACACGCAAAAAAGTGACCAAAAACCACAAAGTGCCTGCAGCAACCGACCGCACAAAGCTCCTGCAGACAGACAGTCCCCCCTACAATGGACGCGGTCCACTCCAGAAGGCAGCCAGACGGTACCGAAGGCTTCAACACCCGCCCAGGTCCTCCTCCGCACGCTGCTCGCTGGCTTCATGATCCACCTGGAAGATGGCAGGGGACTGGAAAAGCACGGATGGTGAGAGCTTCGTCAGCATTGCCCCAGCGTCCATTGGCCAACTGAGAGATGCTTTGCCTTCCAATGCCTTCCAAGCTGCTTTCCCACTCGCCCCGAAACCCGAAGCCCTGAAATCCTTCCCAGCTACTCTTAGCTGGCCTGCAGTCGCTCGATCTCAGCCTTGAAGCCAGCTTCCTGACCTTGGAGTCTGAGCCAAAAAATATCCCTTCGCAGCGGCAGCGAACTCCTCTCCATCCAAGAGGGGCCTCGGCCGACCTCTGAAAAGCCCTGGCACTCCAAACCCTCAGCCTCAGCGGCCCTGAGCTTTGATACCAAAGCCTTAGCGGCCCCGAACCCCCGAACCTGAAACCCCCCGAAAAAACCCTACAGAAAGGCCTTAAAAACATATAATAATAATAATAATAATATATATATATATAATCATAATGATATATATATATATAATAACAATAATAAGAAGAAGAAGTGAAGGCCTTCGGCAGCTGGACCTGAAGCAAAAATTCCCCGGGGCTCCAAGCGCTCGAGTCGGCTCACCTTCTCCTGGAGACCTTGGGCCTGCGCTCTTCGAAGGATCACTAGGGTTTAGGGTTTAGGGTTTAAGGTTTAGGGTTTAGGGTTTAAGGTTTAGGGTTCAGGGTTTAGGGCTATTTGGGTTCTAACTACCAGGATAAGTAGAAGTAGTTTACTTATATCATCCATAATCTGTAGATGCCCGTGAACAGTCAAGCATGGGCAGCTTGAAAGCGACTCTGCTTTGCGATGGTCGAATCAAGTTTTGATACCTTGCTGTATCCATCAACCTGCGGTTTACTGTTTCGGATACATGGTGTTTAGGACAGACGAGCACTGCAACGCCGTCTTGAATGCTCCTGCCTTCGAATTGCGTGCAGTGCGACAGGCGACGGTTACGTGCGCCGGTGCCGTACACAGCTTTAGCCGTTGATGTTCTGGTATTTTGCATTGTGGGATGTTGAGTTGGATTTGGGGGCTTATGGCCTACGTTTCGCTTCAGCTTCTATCAAAAATCTGAGACAGGGCTTTGGGGTAGGGAGCTTGGGGCTTCGAAATCTTCAACCACAACCTTCAACTCAAGACCCAAAACACCCCAGGTTCCTAGCGGCCGCAGCGTCCCTTGTAGAATGCTTCTGGCCTGGATGAGCTGCGCCTTCAGCCGATGCACCTCCAAGAGCAGCTCCGAGTTTTCCTGGCATACTACCAATAGGGTTTGGGGGGTTTAGGGTTGAGGGGTTTAGGGTTTAGGGTTTGGGGTTTAGGGTTTAGGGAGGGGTTTGGGGATATGACGGTTAGGGCTTAGGGCTTGGAATATTCTCCTTGCACTGTCTCTTCCTGTCCTTCTTCTTGCCCACACAACCACTGGTAACTCGTGTTGCTGTTGCTGCTACTGCTGCCACCACCGCCACTTAAAGGTTCCGATGTTGTTCGTTCTCCTGGACCCCTCGTCTTCCCAGTAGAACCATCTCTGCGTCTCTTTCGACACCCAGCAGAAAAAGCCAAGTCCGGAAATACGACGACGACAACTGCAGCAGCCAATAATATAGTCGAAAATCCTCCCGAAGCATTGAAAAGCAAGTTGAAGGCCGGGGAGTCCCGGTCCAAGCCCTGCTCCTTTTGCCCCACAACCCCGGATCCAAATAAAACACGAATTTCAGCAACTCCCTTGGCAGAAATCAAGAGCCCTGAACCCTCAACCTGAAATCCCCTAAACCCTAAACCCCTAAACCCTAAACCCTTCAACCCGATGACGAGCCCACAACCAAGGCTTCCCATGAGGCCTTCCCAAGGCGCTCCTGGCCCGATGCTTAAAACAAATCTCATGGTCTTGGGTTTAGGGTTTAGGGTTTAGGGTTTAGGGTTTAGGGTTTAGGGTCTAGTTAGGTTTACATTTTTCTACACCCTTGAACCTTGCTGTTGTTGCTAGTTACGCTTCGGGGCCCCCGGCTGTTTCCAGCGTAGGCTTTTGGGTTTAAGACGTCTGGGCTTCGAGATTTGAGGTTAAGGGCTTCTGGCTTTAGCCTTTAATGTCAGAGATGTGAGTTGCAGGATTGCCATGTCTTGGGCTCCAACCTTGAAAAGTTCATGGTACGTTTCCTCACCGTGGGCTCCCACCCGAAGGGTCTCTGAGCCTAGAACCTCAAGGCACAAAAACTCAACACTGCATTCTGTGGGATTTGTCTCGTGGGATCCATAGAAGCACAGGCTGCAGTGCCTCGACAGCGTGTCCCTGTGGCAGCTCTTAGTGCGAATGAGCCCTTCCGAACTCTAGCAACTGCAAACAAGGTGCGAATCTGCCTGCGAAAGCGGCCAAAACTATCAGGGTTTCGTGGTAAGTTCCAAAGCCTAGACCCCAGACACTGCAGCGCCCCGCATGCCACAAGACCTCTATTGCCCCAGGAGAAAAAGATCCGAGACCAAAGAGCCCGGAGCGAAAGCACTCTGTCCTTAAGTTTAGGGTTCAGGGTTGGGGTTTAGGGTTGAGGTCTTACTGCAGGGCAAGATGAAACCCGCGGAGGCTCCTGTGAACTTGCCGGGAAACCCTAAACCGCCTAGTTTAGGAGCCTCAATCATTAGAAAATGGCTTTGGTGCTTTACTATAACTATAAAATCAGGAACCCCCTCCCAAAAAAAAAGCAGTATTGGTAATTTATTTTGGCCCCTATATTAAACCTTCTGCAACCCTCCTCAAGACTCCCGGGGGAGACCCTTCTGCTCCCCCGACCTTGGCTTTCAGTAGGCCGAAGAAGTCGCTCTCCGCTTCCTGGCTCCGAATGAGGGGCGGGGGGAGGGGGGGGCTGAGGGACGCCTTGAGCCTCACGGCAGCCAGTGTTCAGGCTTGGGCTGCACATAGACTTTAAAGGAGGAGGCTCCAGCCTTGAATCCTCCACCCCGCACACACAGAGAATGCCCTCAAGTGGAGCCGACGACAACCACCTCACAAGCACGACATCTAAAAAGACTCCTGATGCTGCTGCATATGGAAGAAATCTAGTGTGAATGCCAACGGCTATGGCAGCTACAGTTCCTCTTCAACCATGTTGGAATGATGAACGATCTCTCTAATTTTGGTTGCATTGATAGTACTTTTTATGTGAACATTATTAAGATGTGCGTTGTAATTCAGAGCTGCCAGTACTCTTTCTGTCGACAGTGTTAAGATTTGCGCTTTAATTCAGAATATCTTGTTATGACTATTCTAGTGATTCATGGCCTTGTACTCAGAAGTGTGCATGAGATTATCATGATGGTTATTCATGAAACTCCTGTGATGATCCCTAAACCCTAAACCCTAAACCCTAAACGTATACTCATGGAACCTGTTATGATGGTGCTTATCAAACTGCTGTGACCACTGCTCTCCCGTTGCCTCTTGCAGCTCGGCCGCCTCCGTTATGTGCCTCCAAAGGTTCAGGAGGGAGGAGGGTCTAGGGTTCAGGGTTTAGGGACTAGGTCTTGTGGATGATTCGGGAGGAGGATTCAGGGGTCAAGACATCATGGTGTGGTGATCAAGATTTCGTGAGGGCGAGGAGGAATGCAACAACTTGAGGCTGGAGCTGCAATTGAAAATGTCGATGATGATAGTGATGGATGATGGATGATGGTGATGGTATGGATGATGGTGCTGTAATGGTTTTGAAGATGGTATCGATGATGGTATTGATTATGGTACTGGTGATGGTGATGATGATGATGATGATGGTGATGGTGATGGTGATGGTGATGGTATGGTGATGATGATGATGGTATTGATGGTGAAGGTGACAGTGACTGTGATGGTGATGCTGGCTGGGACAGCGATGATGGTGGTGTTGATGGCGGAGGAGGAAGAGAAGAGGAGGAGGAGGAGGAGGAGGGGAGGAGGAGGACGACGACGACGATGACGAATGTGAGGAGCAATGTGCCACGTACCACTCCGTCGTGAAATACTTCTTCTCTTTACAGGCTTCAGACCTCTTTCCACCATATATACAGAAGCTTCGGGGCTCAGGACGGTCTGCCTGTAATCCATCGAGGCTCCGAAATCGACGGTCATGGCGATAGGTTCGAGTGGAGCCGCCATGGAACGAACATCTAAATCTGTGCATGTAGTGTCTTTTAGGCAACCCTGCATAGCAGATCGCTGTGCTCGGACTCATGTGTTTGAAGGCCAACACGAGCTGGACTCAGCTGGACGTCGCGAAGCGTGGATAAACATCCCAGAAAGACTCATGTGGTGGAGTTTCACTCACGGGCCGAAAACCTGCCAAACCTACCGCAGCAAAGGTGTCGTTTGTCTTGCCAACATCATTCCAGATAATGTCGGCCTTGACTCTCACACTCCTTGGGCTCAATTTCAAGGACCGAAGGCGCTGACCCCCGCTCCCGGCCGCTCCCCCTAAACCCGGTCTGTTTTGCTTTGCCACGCGTCCTTCTCCGCAGATCCCAGTCACGCCTGGTTCGGAGGGGCAGGTGGGAGCAGCTTACACTCCTGGTATTTATAATATATGATTTATAGTATAGAACATATAATATATAATTGTCGCAGTTCCATAACGGGACGCCAGCTCGTCCGAGATCCCTGCTTGCTTTTGACATCCGACAGCAGCCGCGGCAGCCCATCTGTCGCACCGCCTCGGGGAACAAGGCGAGGTCCTCGAGACCGATACTGTCGAAGTGCGGGGCTTCGGGCTCATGGAAAAGTTCAGATGCACCAGGGTCCGGGCACTGCCAGCAGGATCGGACCAAGGTGTCGCAGGCAAGTGCAGTCCACTTCACTCCTCGCCGTGTTGCTGCTCTTCTTGTTCTTGAATATTCTTGTGCATTACTGCTGGTGTTGCTATCTGCGGATTTTTTCCTCGTTGTAACTATCGTTGACCCCAGTCCCAGTGTATCATCCGTATCTGCTCGTCCCAAAGCCGGCCGAACTCACCGACGCGGAAAGGCTCAACGCTCCGGCCTTCCCCCTGCATCAGGCGAAAGGCGTCGAGGCCCTGATGGAGAAGAAAGAAACCCAAAAGAGGGTCAGTCTTGGCTGCTCTAGATTCTAGGTTTCGGGTATTTTCGGGTGTAGAGTTTTGGCTTTCGCCTTGCAGATTTAAGCTTTCGAGGAGGCTAGAGGGAGCAGGTTGACAGCCACGGACCCAAGCACAAAAAAGGCAAATCCCAAACCCTACCTCGAAAGCTTCATGGCCCCTTGACTCATATAACATAGTATAATATCATATAGTACAATATATATATATATATATATAATATATAATATATATATATATATGTATATATATATATAGAGAGAGAGTAAATTTTAATCTACTATAGCCGGTTATAGTATATTATTTTC